GAAGTGATTGAATTTCCCGGCTCGATTCGCCTAGACGGTCAATGTCTCCGACCCGCCGTATAAATGCCTTTTCAGAAATACGCCCGGTATTTGCGGAGCCAAGTTCCATGGTGGTTCCAGAAGCAGTATAGCAGTCAGTAGAATGTTTATCTGGTTCTACAGATCTATTGGACCAATTCAAGGTCCATATTGGTGGTGTTTGATGCAGGGCCGCCTAAACTTCCGAACTTGATCCTGGATACCAGCCCGATATCATACAAGGTAATATTGGATGCAGTGTTTTCCCTATGTTCCTGTTTGTGGTATGATGACCGATTGTCCGTAAGGCTGTCCAGTACGTTTTCAAGCACAGCTGCACCTGAAGAGGATTCTGCTTCTTTACATGCCTCTTACTGTTCAGTCGTCCTCAAATTGTTCATGTACAGTGACTGTTGACGTCTGGCTGGCCGGTTGCATTCGTCAGTACTGTAGATGATGTGCAAATAAAACATGTGAATAAGAGCTTGGAGCATTTTTTCCTGTTCTTATCACCGTTGCAGGATTTGACAGACACCGTAAATATAATCATTGTTTGTCAACCCTCCCTTAACTTCGCGATCAAACTGTTAAGTTGGCAACTGTCATCGAGACCGGGTTTGGTTTCTGCAGCTCTGTGTGGGCGTTATATAAAGGCCCTTATCAAGGGTCAAGATGTAACTGCGAAATTTGCCATTTTTTGTTTAGCACGAGTCAAGATCAGTCTTTTGACGTCTGTAGTTAATTGCACAGAGTTAGTGGTACGGTTGCATGAACTGTCCTTTTGTAAACATCTTTCTTTCAGGCCTACGAGGGTCAGATACAGGTGCTGCAGGAGAAGGTTGAACAGCAGTCCATAATGAGTTCAATAGTGCAGGATGACTCCGTCTCCGAAGACGAAGGTTAGCGAAATATTTCCTTTAACTGTTCGAAATCGACAACGTTTGCCAGACATTACTTCAAGTGTATTCTCCATTTTAATAAACTTCAATCACATTATAAAGGACACCTTTAAATCTTTGTAAGCATAATTTGCAAAGGATCATCTACTAAGCAGAGGGTGTTCCTATGGTGGTGGCTTCAGTTATTATAGGGAAGATCCCTGCTGCTTCCGTTTCCCTGTGGGGAGATAATGTTATAATGGCTTCCCAAGCTAGATTTGTGCCGCCCTAGTCTCTTTCTGTCAGTCCAACAAGGAGAACAACGAACAAGATCGTAAAGGAAAGGAAGTCGTTTATAGTGTTCCCTGAACGGGACTATATGGTAAAAAAGGTTATAGATGGGGCCAATAAGATTGTGTTCTCATGCGCCTACCGGCACGATTGGCCATCTGGCCGCCTCTGTCCTGTCCGCCTCGTATGACCTCGGCTCTTCATGCGCGCCCGTCCGCGCGCCCTTTGTTTGTGGGCGGACCGATAACGTAACCTGAGACCTCGCCAAGGCCGCTTGTTAGGAATAAGCCCAACAGATAATAAGTGAGACACCAGTTCGGCAGAATAACTTATAATGTA